AGATAGTAAATAAGATGTCTTTACACAGGAAAATGCATGAAGTAAGGTTATCAATCAGTTGATGAAAATGTGGTGATCAGGGGCCCTCAGGAAGCTAGCTAGCTCTGTACTTCCCGGGGGAGTGGGTGGTTCGGTGTTCACTAATTCAGTGTTCACAGAGAGTATAGCACAGACCTGCCTTGAATAGGGGAATCAGCTGCACCACTAGTTATTACGATGACTGTTTTTATGTTTCGTAGAGAGTCAAGAAAGAGGTTGGAGTTTGGAATTCTCCTATGTTGATAGTTGATGTGAGGATCAAATATAAAATAGGTTGTGAAAAGGGGGAAAGACTGTAAAGTCCCTGGATTGGAATTGTGAATGTCATTGCCTTAACTATTGCATGGGCATCCTGCTCCAGGGAAGCTGTCCTGTGCTGAGGCTCCAGGAGAGGAGGGGCTGTTGAGTTTGGGGGCTGTAAGAGACCCACTGAGGGGCTGAGGAGGTCCTGCTGGGTTTCCCATCCCTCACTTGCCTGCACCTTCCAGAGCTTGGAGGAGGGCTTTTCCTGGCTGCTGTTCACTCTGTGGCCACCACTCAGGCCAGGCCACCATTGTGTCTTGCCTGAACAGCAGCACGGCCACCACACTGCTCCCAGTCTCCCTCTAGGTTTCCTGTCTCAGAAACTTTTCACATTTAATTGAGTGACCATTTGTTAAATGATCATCAGACTGTAAAGTGCACAAGGTCAGACACTGGGCTGCCTTGGCTTACCACCGAGTCTTCAGAGTGTAGGGCCTGGCACATTCTACGTGCTCAGTCAACCTGTGGATGTGAGAAGACACCACCCCATGTTACCCACCTGGAGAAGATCCTAATGTACGAGATCCAGGCTGTCCCCCTCGAAATTCACATACTAGGAGGGTCTGCTGAGCCTGGCCGTGCACAACAGCCCAATGAGCTAGAGAGGTTTGAACCCAGCATTGGCTGACCCTGGAGCCTATCCTATCCTTCCTGCCTCTTCTCTGACATATTTGTCTGTGCCTCTTTATTGTGATCTTGTATCTGAAGGGATGCATCTCTTAGGAACTGCGGACTTGACCTCATATCACCAGCCTTTCTGCTCCAAAGGCAAAGGAAGTTGGAGCCCAACCCAGTGCTGTCCCAGGGATCTGCCTGCTTGTCTGTCTGTCTGTCTTACACATCTCTTTGGAGAAAAGGGCTCACCTTTTAGAGAAGCCAAGTCCCACTGACAGTTCAGAGCCTGTCATCAGCATCGGGGTGGCTTGGTGTTTGGCAGGCCTTGGGGGAGCCACACACTCCCCCTGAAATAATGGAAAACTGAGGCTCAGAGTAGGGAGGCAGCTCATCCAAGGTCAGAGAATGAAGACTCTGGACTCTCTGGGTTGTGGTGTTCACCTTGGGCTCAATGTCTCACTGGAGGAGTGAGGAGCAGAGAATGGAGCAGAGGAAGGTCCTTTGTCCCTACCAGTCTATCATGGCATTTGAAATACCACCATTAATTCTTCAGTCTTAGAGAAATTTCTGCTAGTTCCTTAATGGAATGGAAATACCCTTGGATAGGTGAAGTGGAGCAGGAAGTGCCTCAAGTGATCAGCCAGAAACTTTATTCATTTATCTCCTCATCCATCCTTCCTTCCTTTCCTCCACCCAGCCTTCCATCCCCTTCTCCCTCCATCTGCATCTCCATCTCTCCACTTAACGTCTCTGAAACTATCTAATCATCATCCATCCTTTCACCAGCTGGCACTGAACACCAATTCTGTGACTGCTCTGTGAGACAGAGAGGAATAACGCTCTGCTCCAGCCTCTCCAGATCCCCCAGGACCCAGGCATCTAAAAACCCATTCTTCCCCACACTGTGAGGGCCACCCTAAGGGAGGGTTTCGTATCCTGGCTTCACAAAGCCCAGGCAACCGAGTGGAAAGTCTTCGCTCCCCAGCCCTGGGTTCTTCAGTCTTTGTCTGGCCACTAAGTGACTTGGTATGGTTGGACACCACCCCTCTCTTCTGGGAATCAGTTTACCCATCTGAGGTGTGGGTAGGTTGGGCTAGATGAGAGTTTCCCAGACTCTGTTCATCCATAGGCCTCCCTCCACACCTCCAGATCAGATCGCCTGTACTGAAAAGCCCTTCATCTTTTTATTCAAATTAGTTCACTGTTTTTCTAACCAAAGTAAACTTATTTTAGAATGACACTTTATCACTACCATAGATGGACAAAATGGTAACCCCTGTCATAAAGAGAAAGGAATAACAAAAACTTTTTTTTAAAGAGGCAGATTGCCGCTGTTATTAAATTCTAGAGAGTCATCGCTTCCTGTTAGTGGAGACCTGCTCTCCTTGTTCAAGAGAGAATTTCACAGGCATAGAGAGGTGTCATATGCACAGGATGCTTACACTGAACCCAGGCTTTCTCCTGGGAGGCGTTTCTGCAGGGTGCCTCACTATCACTGGGTGGCAATGAGGAGAGGGTCACCACTGAAGGGTCCTTCTACACATGGTGGGGCACCTCCTGATGGGGTCAGGGGTGGGGAGGGGCTCCCCAGGTGCTGTCCTGGCCACCCTGTTCTGAGCCCTCTAGATGCACCCTGGGCCCAGCCCCTCCTGAAATCTCACCCCCTCCCTCTCCAAGCCTCCTGAGGAGCCAGGGGTCAGGAAGCTGTGAGCCGGATTCTGTAACTCAAGCCAGTGGTATCTGCGTCAAATCCTGACCGAGGAGGGAAAACAATATGGAAATCTGAGCCTTCCCATCCAGGAGCTTAGTGGGCATCAGGTGCAGCCCATCACTCAGAGACAGCCCTGACCCTGTCTAATCTTACCTTCAGCCACCTCCTGGCTTCATCCCTTCCCACCCTTGACCCAGGTCTCCAAAGCCCATGACAGCGTAGGGTCCCCAGAGTGTAGCCTTTCTGAATGCCCCTGTGACATTATCAAGTATAATCAGAAAAAAAAAAATGCATTTCTTAGTTACGCCAGTGCCCTCAGGGCCCGGCTGCCTCTTCACTGGCCTGGAAGGCAGGTGGCCCACTGGAGCCAGAAGGCCCAGGTTGAAGTGGCACTCTGCCCCAAGGCCTCCCTGCAACCCCCACCTCTGAGCCTCTGGGAGGTGCGGCACCTCCTGCAACTACACTGATATCACGGGTATTGTTTACTTTAAAAAATATTCCATTTTGGATTTTGATTTCAGAAGGATATTTGAAATACTAACGCCGCTGCCAGCTCTGTTAAGATCAAAAAGAAGCCCACTTTGTCATCTCACCTCCACTTTAGCAGGTGCCAGTGAGAGGGGAAGGGTTGTCCTTGTATTTCTTAGTCTCCATTCTCCAGAAAATAAGCCCAAAAAGCCCAGAAGAGGGGAATCATTCAAAACCTACCATGGGGCTTTGTCTTAGTACATTTTTTCTCTCCTTAACACTTGCAGTCCCTTGTGCAGGTCTTGCAGTTCATTTGTTCATTCATTCATTCATTCATTCATTCATTCCACCAGGGCTGATGTTTCATCAGCAAGCAATTCAGGAAAGCCCTGTAAGCTATTTCAAGATGTCCTCCTTGGGTACGTGCCAAGGCTGGACTGCTCACTTTATTTTTTCAACTTGCCTCCACGTGTAAGAATAGTAATTGAATATACACATGGGTTTCAGGATCTAAGCCTGTCAAACTCTAGTGTCCACGCATGGTCCTCCCCCAAGAGCATATGGTCTGCTGCAGAGGAGACACTTGCGATTGCACCGCAAAGATTGTTGTGATGGAAACTCCAGCATTCTGCCCGCCTTGAGAGCTGGAAGAGGTGCCCTCATATCTTGGCCAGAAATGAAAGAGAGACACTTTGGAAAAGTTACCCAGAGGTGAAATTCCACACCTCAGGCTCTTATTGAATCTCTGAATGAGAATGACAGAGCAGGAAGGTATCTGAGACATCTTTGAGGCTACCATTCCCATTCCCCACAGTGTGTGTACTGAGGAATGTTAGTTTATTCCAAAAAATGATCCAAGGTTAAATTAGTATGGGCAAGGCTGGGTCAAGTTAAACTGAACTGGTCTTTGTGTTGAAGACCTTATCAGAGCTTTGATGTATTCGTTGCCTGTGGAATTTTTAGAAAGGGAGGTGGGGTGATACAGCATGAAACAATTCCCAAATATTTTCCACCATGGTGTCTGGTTTAGGAAGCTTTTTGAAAGGCTAGTGCTCCCCAAGAGCTCACTCTAAAGGACTCTTGTTCAAGCCAGAGAAGGGCTGGTATTTTCCAAGTATCTCACAAGACCCAGGGCTCCTCTCTTGCAAGCCTCCTGTTTAGGGCAAAGTTTGAATCTTGGGTGCAACTGGCACATGAAAATACTGGGATTCACATAGGATGAAGCAATTCTGGGAAAATTTCTGGGGAGGTGGGACTTGTACTAGGAAAGCCAGGGAGCCCCAGTGACTCACGGTATTAGCGACTAAACAGTGATATCCCAGAGAGCCAGGTACATACTGGAACCTCATTACCACCCAGTTTTCCTAGAGGGGACTTCAGTGTGAAAGACAGCAGATTAGTCTCTGACCTTGTAAAGGATGGAAATGTTGGTGATGCATGTCCAGGCCTCCTCTTCCATGAAGCCTCACCTGATTGCCATCCCCACACCTAAGTGACCCCTCCCCAGCCGGCCTTGGAATCCTCACCTGGGTCTTTGTGATGGTGCTATTTTGTCTTTGCTCCTTGCTCCATTCTTTATTGCAAGTTTTGTGTGTATACTTTGTGAGATCTCTGTAGTTTATGACATTTGAGATCAGAATTGGTGGTTCATTCTCCCTAGTGATAGTGGTTTATTAAGAACTTCCTAAGTGCCAGGGGCACCATTAGGTGCTTCCCATAGTCTGCTCATTTATCTTCACCACAGCTCTCTCCAGGATCCATTTCCATCCCCATTTTGTGGAGGAGAAAACTGAGGCTTCGGAGATCAAAATGACTTGCTTCAGAAAATGCTAGAACCAAGATTTATACCCAGGCCTTGGTTTTTATTTCTTGGTTAGTTGATGGAATTGGGTTTTGGGTAATCCCACAGGCATCCTGCTTTTCTGGGGCAGTAGTGTACTTGTCCAGGTCTCCATGAGGCTGGGGTCAGGACCTCCAGCCTGGGACCTCTCTCTGAGATCAGCCCCATCTCAGCTTGTTGACCAAAAGAGGATCCGGGGTGAGAGGTGTAGTCACCTGCAAAGTAGAAAGGTGAGCAGCGTAGACTGACAGTTGGGATGACTCCAGGCTCCTGTCCCAGGGCCCTGCACTGAGACCTGCCCTTGGCTTTCTAATATCCTGATTACATTCCCCACTTCACTCCATACTGGGAATTGGGAGTATCCCACCAATTCCTCCCCATCCCACCTTCTCCTTTGTGTATGGACAGACAAGCTCAGCTGCAGGGTTCATGGCTGCTGTCAATGTGGAGCAATGACATCCAACAATCATCCTCCCAGAGTTCCTGGGCTGGGCTGAGGGCTGGGGTCTCCTTTCTTCCATAATTAAAAATTCACCAGTGAGGACGGATCACTCATCAATCTTTCATCCCAACAGTCCTTATTGGAGAAAATGGGGCCACGGCTGATGACCTGGCTGCCCCATAACCTGGGGATATCACCACCATTTACATGAGCTCAGGGCCTTGGACAGGGGCAGAAGGGCCCAATCAAGCCTGTGGAAGCCCCTTGAACATCACAGGAAGAGCTCTGGGCAGGATGGGTGGATGAACTCAAACTTTCTACTTCATATGGGCTGAGACATCAGGGAACGGTCCACAGAGAGTCAGAGAAAAAGTGTAGAAGTAGAATATTATTTAGCCATAAAAAGAAAGAAATCTTGTCATTGGTGACAATATGGATAGGCCTGGAGGACATTATGTTGAGCAAAATAAGCCAGAGACAGAAGGACATTTACCACACATTCTCACCTATATGTGAAAGCTAAAAATCTTGATCTCACAGAAGTAGAGAGTAGAATAGTAAAAGCTGGGGAGAGGGTAGAAGTTGGGGGAGGAAGGAGAGAGGATAATTACTGGATATGGGGTGGGGCTGGGTATTCTATAGCATTCTAGAGTAACTAGGGTTGACAGCAGTTCATTGTATATTTCAAAATAGCTAGTGGAGAGGATTTTGGATGTTTCCAAGATAAAGAGATGATAAATGTTTGAGATGATGGATATGCCAGTTACTGTGATCTGATCACTACACATGGTACACATGTACTGAAATATCACACTAGCTGGACGTGGTAGCACCTACCTATAATCCCCAAGATTTAGGAGACCAAGTCAGGAGGATTGCAAGTTCAAGGCCAGCTTGAGTAACTTAGTGAGATCCTGTCTCAAAATAAAAAAATAAAGGGGCTGGGATTGTGGCTCATCGGCAGAGCACTCACCTAGCATGTGCGGGGCCCTGGGTTCAAGCCTCAGCACCACATAAAAATAACTAAATAAAACAAAGATATTGTGTCCAACTACAACTAAAAAAATAAATATTTTTAAAAAACAAACAAACAAACAAATAAATAAATAAAAGGGGATGGGGATATAGCTCCATGGTAGAGCACCCCTGAGTTCAATCCCTAGTACCAAAAAAAGAAAAGAAATATCACACTGTGCTCCATAAATATGTACAATCATTAGGTATCAAGTAAAAATTTAAAGTGTATATTTAAAAAAATAAGAAAGAAACAGTGTGTGGAGCAAAATGGTCAGGAAGCATCTAATTCACCATGTGGCTTCTGCTTCTCCCACTAAAACTGAATGGGACGATGCTCATGAGGACCCAGCGGAGGCCCAGTGGAGAAGGGAAGCACACTAGCTGGGGACCCTCATTGATATTCTAGCCATACTGGGAACGTAGCTGCCTCTGTTCCAGCCCTCACCTATCGTGTGAGTTAGGCCTGTGAGGTAACTTCTCCAGACCCAGCTTCCTCCTCTGTAGCATGGGCATCATGACAGTTCTGCCTCAGAGAGACGGGGTGAGGAGTGAAGGAGCCTAGTGTGGCTCAAAGGAATCACTCAAGGTTGGCCTTGCTTGGAAGGCTGCTGGTGAACAATCCCAGCTGAGCTCCAGTCTCCTGACATGAGGGTGGCTTCATGTGTCCCAGGCCAGGAAGAAGGGACCACCTAGCAGGCAAACACACCACTGACTCTGCTGCTTTCTGGCCGTGTGACCATTGCAAGTCCCACCCTTCTCCTGGCCTCAGCTTCTCCATCGATTAAAAATAATAATAATACAGATGCTAAAGAAATGATCCCTTCTAGCTTGGTGTTTTACAAAATCCTATATGTAACTGACTGCCTCTTGTCAGGCTGGTGCTTTTCCCAGAAGGGATCTGGGGAGGGAGCGTCCAGGCTGCCCACTCTGGCTCTGTGACTGCTGCGTCAGCCCCGTGACTGTGGGTTCCCTGCAGCTCTGCTCCAGGATCTCTGTGAGTTCTGGGCTGGGCCGTTTTTCCAGGAAAGGGACAGCCTGGCTCAATAGTGAGAAGAATTTGTAGGGTGTACGAGGAAAGGAACAGTCTGGGGAGGTGGCAGGAAAGATAAGGGTACATGCTGGGCTCCTGGTGCCAGAGTGGGGCTGGGAGATGGGTTCCTGGAGAAAGGAGCAGGCCACATAGGCTCAGGCCAGCAGAACAGAGTCGCAGAAAGGGTGGACACCAAGCACCCAGTGCCAATTCATAATCATTGGGATGGAATCAGCCTTCAGACACTGCAGGACTGGCTAGCTTTGGCTTGAAGCCTGATGGATATGGATGGGTGGGTGAAGACAATATAGGGAGGCAGAGCTGCTGGGCTAGACAGCTGCCATTCGCCTCTAGAAGTCTGCTTTCTTTCCCTTTCCAGCCTGCCATGTTCCCATGGCCTGGGTGGGCTGCCTCACCAGACTTCTTGGCTTGCTGCTAGGTGTGGCCAATGGGGAGATCTGGCAGAATGTAGAGGGTGGTGGGGCAGAGATGTCCAGTCTTTAGTCTCCCAGATTCACCCCTCAGAATCACCTGGGGCCAGCTTCCTGTCTTGACCACAGGGGACAACTGCTATGGGGGGTGGGGGGCGTCTTTTCCACACAGCTCTCTCTGTGCCTGGGTCTGGAACCCATTCTCTCTCCTCCCAGGACTAGAGATTCTAGGACCCCCCACTTTTGCTCTCCCAGGGAGCTGCACTGTACATGGAGGTTCCTTGTTGTCTTGGTTAAACTCCTCAAATGATGCAGGTGTCCCCAGATATTGAAAAGGAACCCTGAGTGAGGACAACAGTGCCGTCACCAGCTTTGTGCAGAATGTGACTTTATCCTCAATTTCTCCAAGGGACTGGCCTGGCTTTCTCCCTCCTGAATTCTGGGTTTCTAGGTCTGGATAAGGAGAAAGGAAAAGAGACAGGAGGAAACTGTAAGGTCAGGAGAGGCGTCTACAAAAAAGGAAGCCCACCTGCACCTTGTAGGTCACATCGTCAGAGCTGCTGCAGGGGTTGTGGGCTCCAGCCTCCAGGGGCCAGATGCTGGGCATTGGGGAAACTCTGAGGTTCACATCTCCAAAGAGGAGCCCAAAAGCCTATCTTCTGCTTGAAATCCTTCAGTTTTTAAATGCTAGAATTGCTTCAAATATTAAATTCTAAATATTGTTGCAGCTTGATCTGAATCTCTGGCCACTAGTCTGTGACTTGGAAAAATACAAGCCCCCCTGATGTACCTTTCTGATTTCGTTTTCTTATAGAGTTCCCCACACTCAGAGCGTGGACTGGGAGAAGTGGAGAAGACAGGTGAGTGTAACAACCCAAACCTCTGGTTCACCTGGAGAGCTCTAAGAATCCCATCTGCCCCTGTGTACACACATTAGCAATGACAACAGCCCAGATTGAGAGAGGCCCTTGATTGCAAACCACCTGTGTGTGCAGTCAGCCACCCCTGCCCAAACCACCCCAGCCTCCGATACCTCTTATTGCCACTCCCCAAACCCTGTGGGTAGCAGGAGAGGAAGAGGGAAGCTGGACGCTGGTCTGAAAGCTGTAGTGTGGATCAGTTTCCTTCTGGTGACGTCAGCTTCCCAGTCCCCCACCCCCTACCACAGAGCCTGCCTGTTAACAGCTTTACCTTGGTGTGGTATTCCCTGAAAAGAAAGGTACACTTGTCAATGTCTTATTGAGACAAAGAACAATACTCTGATGAGGGTCATATGGTTATTATACCAGTCACTCGTACTTTAGTATCTTTTAATTCCATCAGATTAATTGCCCATTATTATCTCATTGAGTCAGCCTGTGGGGGTGGTGGTTACAGGGAGGACTGAGAAAGGGGAACACTGTACACAGGGCACTGGCTCAGCCTGGGACCAGCCTGCAAGCCTGCAGAGGACATTTCTGGAAGCTCAGCCACGACTCTGAGCTGGCTCTGGAGGTGTTGTCCTTGGTCCCTGTCCTGAGTCGGTGGGTGCTCTGTGGAGCGGCCTGGAACCCTCACCATGCTCTGAAAGCCTGCCTGAGGCTCAGAACATCTGTTTACAAATAAACATTTGCAGAGACAGCCCCTGTCCTGGGGGCTGCCCTGGGAGTCCTCTGGGACCAGCCAGCACATGGCTGCCAGCAGCCCCAGGCTGCTACTTCCCTGGCACCCTCCTTCCCTGGGGTGGGTGTGTGCAGAGCTGGCTTTGTTCCTGGACAGGATCAGAAGTCGCTCCAGGGAGTTTGATAGGAGGGGAGACTTCCGCATCCTACACCCGCTCCCAGTTGACCCAGTAGGTGCCTAAATCATCACCATTTGCGTCATCCCCTGGGAGGGGATGAGGAAGAAGCCTTTCGAGCTTCCATCAAAATGTCATCTGTGGGTTAGCTGTGGCGATTTCTAAGTTAAGAGATTGTGGGCAACTTGAGGTTTTCGGCGTTTTATGTAATAAATGCATGTTACTTTCATGTGTTCCCAAGTGCTGTCTGAGGTAGTCTAGGAACCCCTGGACTTCATTGTGTGTTGTAGAAATTATCTGACCAGATTAACTCCATCGGATAGTAGGGCTTTGGGGCTGGACTGTGGGGCAGGTAAGTCTTGGTGGAAAAGCAAACGGTGATACTGGAGAAGGTACACGGGCCTCCTTTATTCTTATTGGTGCATATTAATTATACAGCATGGTGATTTCTTTGTGGCATGTTCGTACATGCATATGACATGATTTTTTTAGTTTCACTCCCCAGTACCTCCTCTTACCTACCCCTATCCCCCCAATGCCTCCCCCTTTCATTTTCTTGCAACCAGGAACAAGAGACCCAAATCGTGATATTTCTGAAAATAATGTGGACTTGGTTTGTCATCTCTGCTCCAGTGCTCATCTCCTCAGCCTGTCATTAGCTCTTTCTTGTCACACTCTGTTCCTTCCGAGGCAGGAGCTGTACCCTCTGCATTTCCAGGGGTCAGCAAGGTGCTTATCTGAGTGGGAACTGGTATTGCTGAGTTCCTCCCTGATCCAGGGATGGTGCTAAGGATGTGACAGGAATCTCTTCCTTCAGATCATGAGGTGGAAGGATGATCCCTGTCTAGCAGGAGGAATGCAGTGACTTGCCTAAGGTTACCCAGTGAGTAGGAGGCAGGATTGGAATCCAGGACCTTCTGACTTCAGAGACCCACTGCATCCCTGTTTTTAAATCCGTGTTTTAGAAGATTAGGAAATGGAGAAAATGACTCTATTTCATCACCTTCGTGCCATGAGCATGTTGGGGTGTCCTTGTGTCCCTTCCTACTTTTACCTGTAAGACATGGTCCTATTGGTATATTCTTCTCTGGACTGAAGCACCACTGTGGCTGGCCTATGAGGTCATTGTGGTGATGAGTGTGGCAGGGTAAGCATGTTGGTTGTCACCTGGTGGGGGTCAGGCAGCCACTGTCAGCTTGTACTCCCTAGAAAAGGGCACATGGCCACCCTCATCCTCCCAGTCCTGCACACCCACATCCTTGTCTTGCTGGCATGATGGGAAGGCAGAGCAGGACTGATGTGGGCTGGTCCTGGAGCTGCCCTGTCCAGCTGCCCTGCCTGTGGTGAGGAGACCAGTGACCACAGACCCTGCCTTAGGGTGGTGGGGCTAATGGTTAAGCCCTTGGTCTTTGGAGTCAGGAAAAACTGAATTTAACCCTGACTGCTGCTTCTTAACAAGCTATTGGTGTCCGCTGGCAAGTAAGTGGCTCTACCACTTTGCACCTCGTTTGTTCACCTGTAAAATGGGTGCCCACTTCACAGAGTGTTGTAAATGCAACCGGGTCCCCTCTTCCTGTGCTCTTCCTGGAATTCCCACCTGAGGGGACCTCTTCTTCTGCCAGGTTGGATGTCACTTTCTTGTGCTATCAACAGATAATCTAGGTTTCCTCTTTCTCCCTTTTTCCTTTTTCTTTTCTTTTTGGTAGATGTTTAAAATTACAACATGGACCCTAAGAATCTTTGAACAGGTGTGGTCAGATGTAGTTGTACCCCAGAAAATGCATAACTGACTAGAACATTTTAAAGATTTTTCCTCTTTCAAAATATAAGTAACTAGTAATTCTACTTCTAGAAAATTTTGCCCTGAGGAAATTGCCCAAGATGTGTACAAAGATTTATCTCCAAGGATATTTATTTATATTAGTTGTTTATTTATATTAGTTAAAAATAGAAAACAATGAGAAGGCTCAGCAGCCAGGGATGGCAGAGGCCCATCGTGGCACATGCAGGTATGGAGGTTCCGGCAGTCTGTGTTTGAGATGAATTTTTTAATAATGTAGTGGGTCATCTTCACTTGTCAGTGTTAAGGGAAAAGGCGATTTGCCAAAGTTAGTCCTAACTGTTTTTATAAATATGCAGGAAAAAACCACAAGTGAGCAAGGCGGAAAGAGGAGAGAGCAGGGAGGGAAAGGAGATCGGAGAAACAGAGACAGAAGTGCAGGAAGATCCAGGTCATGTATTCCCTTCTTTGGGCTTTTCTGCCTTTTCTCCATTTCCCATGGGGAGACATTTGCTATTTATATAATCAGAAGAGTAGTCACATTAAGAAAATGCCTATTCCCACCCATGTGTCCTGGTCATAGACTTTTTTGCCGATCTCCCATATGAGAAAAAATGGTCCTGCTGTCACTTTTCATTCTAAAGCATGATTTTTCTCAAAATATGTTTTTAACCAAAGCCAGTGTCCTTGTCACATTGTTTCCCTTCTGTCCCTGGAACTGTGGTCCTAAGAGTGCTGGCTTTGGGGTCTATGTTAGTTTCCTAGGGCATCCATAATACAAAATACCCCAGAGGAATGACTTACACCACAGAAAATTGTTTTCTCACCATTCTAGAGACTGGAAATCCAAAGTCAAGGTGTTGGCAGGTCTAGTGTCCTCTGAGAAATCTCTCCTTGGATGGCAGAAGGTGCCTTCCCCTGGGTCTTCCCATGTTCTTCCTTTGGTGTCTGTTGGTGTCCAGGATTTGTTCCTATAAAGACATCCATCAGATTGGATATCAAGGCTCACTCTAAGGACCTCATTTTAATTCAGTCACCTCTTTAAAGACCCTACCTCCAACTACAGATGCTCTTCCATATTGAAAGTTGACAATGCATAAAATGCAGCCAGCCTGCTGAGCGACAGAGCTCGCTGCCATGGCCGGGCTGGCTGGAGCCGCGGCTCGCCCCACCCTGCCCGTCATTGCCAGAGAGAAGACTGTACCACATAAGGCTGGTCCAGGAAAGGGTCCAAATTCAAAACTGGAAGTACCGTTTCCAGTGAATGCATATCGCCCTCGCACCATTACCAAGGCAGAAAATAGTAAGTGAGCCATCTTAAGTCAGGGACCATCTGCTCAGTGACATTCTGAGGTACTGGGGGCTAGGGCTTCAACAAAGGAATTTGAGGGGATACAATTCAGCCCAAAATAGGGGCAGCCTCTTCTGGTGACTGTGGCCATCTATTTTTGCAGAACACGGAGCTTGGATCTGGAGTGGGACTGAGGGAGGAAGGTGGGTGCAGATGCAGAAGACATGGTCCCATCTTTAAGAGGACCCGGTGAGGTATGATGCAAATGCTCAAGAAAACCACTCACCTGACGACTTATTCCTCATCTCTCCAGCAAGGTCCAAAAGCAGTTGTGCAGCCTTCCCTAGGTGATCTCATCCACCATAAAGGGGTGCTCAAGGTCAGAGCAAAATAATTCAGCCTGCAAAAATTTATTTTACTAAGAAACTGTCAAGTTCTTTGGCTGAGGTGAGAAGCAAGGAGTTGGCTATAAAAAAAAAAAAGAATACTTAAAATGGGCTCTAGATGTTAAAACTTCAATTTATAAATTAATATTTATTATTATCCACTCAAAAGTGATCTTTTTTTTTTTATTTATTTATTTTTTTTTTATTGTTGGTCGTTCAAAACCTTACACAGTTCTTAATACATCATATTTCACAGTTTGATTCAAGCGGGTATGAACTCCCAACTTTACCCCGTATACAGATTGCTGTATCACATCAGTTACCCTTCCATTGATTCACATATTGCCTTTCTAGTGTCTGATGTATTCTGCTGTCAGTCCTATTTTCTACTATCCCCCCTCCCCTCCCCTCCCCTCCCCTTTTCTCTCTACCCCTTCTACTGTAAATCATTTCTTCCATTTGTATTATCTTGTCTTACCCCTCCATTACATTTTTCTTGATATATCATATTTCACATTTTGATTCAAGTGGGTTATGCACTCCCATATTGCCCCTTATACAGATTGCAGATTCACATCAGTTTCACTTCCATTGCTTTACATATCGCCATCCTAGTGTCTGTTGTATTCTGCTGCCTTTCCTATCCTCTACTATCCCCCCTCCCCTCCCCTCCCCTCCCCTCTTCTCTCTCTACCCCCACTACTGCAATTCATTCCTCCCCCTTGTATTATTTTTCCCTTTCCCCTCACTTCCTCTTGTATGTAATTTTGTATAAACCTGAGGGTCTCGTTCCATTTCCATGCTATTTCCCTTCTCTCTCCCTTTCCCTCCCACCTCTCAACCCTGTTTAATGATGGTCTTCTTCTTGTGCTCTTCTTCCCTAGTCTGTTCTTAATTACTCTCCTTATATCAAAGAAGATCTTGATTGATAAAATCAGTGGTGCAGAGAAGGAATAGGACAATTGTATTAGTCATTGTTCTGATGCTATAACAAAATATCTGAGGCTGTGCACTGTATAAAAAAAAAGAGGCTTGGGGGTCAGGGTCATAGCTCAGTGGTAGAGCACTTGCCTAGCATGCACAGGCCCCAACATTACCAAAAAAATAAAATAATAAGAAAGAGGAAGAGAAGAAGGAAGAGAAGGAGGAGAAGGAAAAGAAAATAGGTTCATTTAGCACCCAGTTTTAGATGTTAAAAGTCCAAGATTAGGTTCAGCCTCTGGTGAGGGTCTCAGGGTAGATGGCAGCACAATGGTGGGAACATGCAGGAAGAGATCACATGGTTTGACAGGAAGCCAGGGGATTCAGAGGCCAGGCTTGCTCTTTTTATAAACAACTCACTGTCCCTGGAACTAACCTAACCACAGTCCTCAAGAACTACGTTAATTCTGTCCAGGGCAGCGCCCCGATATTCTACTCACCTTGCCCTAGGCTCCACCTTTTAAAGATGCCACCTCTCCATACCCCTATACTGAGGGAACAAGCCTCCAGCAGCTGACCCTGTGGGGGTCCCACTTGAGTCATGGCAACAGGAAGATGGATATGGAGGATAGAAGTTGTTGATTTTAGCAGAAGCAATGCTTTATCACTCAGGACATTGACACAAGCTGTAACGAGTTCCCCAGCCCTGATGGACAATCTGTTAGGGTCGCTGTGGGTCTGAACCACTGTGAAGGGCTGGCAGCTGGACTGTTGGAGTTCAGCATGGGGTGAGAGTTTGGCAATGGCACCCACAAATATCTTCCAATGCCCTGCTTCTTAGCCTTGCCTACACCCCAAACCTGGAATCACCCTTGACTCCCCCTCCACTTCTGCCCATGTCTTGACCATAATTTCCCTCCACCAACTCTTTGCCACCTATAGCCACCATAGAGTCCAGGCCACCACTGTTTCTTGCTGGACCTCTGCCTCAGCCTTCCAGCTGGCCCATAAAATCTCTACAACCCACAGCAAAACAATCTAAAAATCATAAACCAGTTCATATTACTCCTGGATGTAACCTTCCAAGAGCTTCCTGCTAAAATGCAAACTCCTGCTGATGGTGACTGTATGATGCTGCCCTCTGCCTTCACCTCTGACCTCTGACCTCACCAGCACCCCATTTCTCTCTGCATCCTAGTGACTCTCAACTTCTGTATTTCCAATCTTCTTGCTCTGTAGGGTGGGACCCAGGACTGTTCCTAGGATCTTTTCATTGTGGAAGAGACAGCTGATTGAGTAAACTTGGCCCCATGACACCTCACAACTTGGTCTTAGCATTTCCCTCTGATTCAGCAAAATCTTTTGTTTCGGCCATTTTCCTGGGAGGTTGGAAATGGCTAATATTTCTAGATAACCACTCTGTCTTGACTTCCTTATGTCTCTTGTCCAAATGTCCTGGGGCTTCCTGTCCTGGCAGATGTAAGCAGATGAGTAACTAGAGAATCTCCCACTGTCCCACCTCTCACAGGGATTCTGTGACATAGGCCGGGAGGTGTTATTGTTCTCCCCATTCTGCAGACAACAAAACTAAGGTCCAGGGAGAGGATGCTACAGCTCAAGGTCACACAACTAGGAAATGGGAGAAACAGATGAAACCCAACTCATGGGACATGTTGAATATATTTTTCTCAATTGTGTTTTATTATTTAATCTCTCAGCAACTTTGGAAGCAAATGACCTGGCAATTTTGCTTTGAGAGTGTCTGTTTGCTAGCTACTAACCAAACATATTTTTGCTTTTGCTCACACTGTTAAAAATGTAAGCCCTTTTGAGGTTCCTTCCACATCTGTGTAAATACGTCTTTATAACAATCAGCTGGAAAGCAAAGTGTTCCATGAGGCGCCAAGTCATTGATACGGTGCCTTTCCTTGTGGCTGCCTGGTGTCTTGGAACCTTTAATTCATTCATTTATTCATTCATTTGATAAGTGAGTGTTGAACCACATACTGGAAATACAGCAGAGAACATGACAAACCTGCCTCAGGAAGGTCCCTGACCTCAGGGAGCTGACATTCCACTAAGAAAGTTCGTTAGTGAACAAATGAACAAGCCATAATATGTCCCATGGGCTATTGTGATGAATAAAGCAGGGTAAGGAGAGAGAAGGGCTGGCAGGTGGAAGTCTTCTCTGAGGAGGTGAACTTTCCAACTAGAACGGAGGGTAATGAGGTGTCAGAAGAACATTCCAGAATATTTCCAAGAGAAAGCCAAAGCCCTGAAGCAGACTGAAGCTTAGGGTGTTTAAGGAACATCAAAGAATCCGAATCCCAAACAGGGCCGAGAGCGGTGGGAAGCGAGGTCAGAGAAGGAGGAGAGGCACCAGATACCGAAGGCTCTGTCCTAATTCCAGGGGAAATGGGACACACCGGGCTTCAAGCAGGGAGGGAACTCCAGGCTGCTATCTGTAAGGTAGACTGAAGGGGGAAGGGTGGGTTCAGGGGGCCCAGGGAGGATGTTGCTGTATCATGGGAGAATGATGACAAGGGCTGAACCAGGCGAGAAGGGCCATGTTCTGAATAGAGGTGACATTTGAACTAACGGCACCTACTCTTACACTGGTGTGGGAGAGACAGAATGAGAAGGACCAAGGGTGACATGTGGGGTGTCACCAAGTGACACCCTGACACCATCTAGTGTTTTGCCATTCAATTCTAGCACAAGACACTAGGAATCAGTACAAACCCCACAAGTTAAAGGGCATAGTTAAGTCCCCAGTAAGACTGCCTCCTCCTAGATGGCAGCCACATGTGGAATCCCCAAGCTACTGGCACTTCGGACCAGATCCTTCTGGTGGGATAATTCACTGTGACAGCTGACAGCACTTAGGAAAGTACTGTCTTTATGATTGTAGCTTTATTACGAACGATAGAAATCAGGACCAGCCAAATGATGTGACACAACAGGCAGAGGTCTGAAAGGTCTGAACGCAGAGTGTCCATGCCGTCTCCCCAGGGAATCAGGGAACACCACCCTCCTGAGACATTAATGTATTCACCAATCAGGCGCTCTGCTGAGCTTTGGTGTCCTGAGGTTTCATTAGGATTTCAAGACATAGACTGAACTGATCGATGGACTCACTGGCCATGAGATTGAACTCAATCTCCAGTCCATCTTCTCCCCCAAGATTGAATAGCTCAAAGCACCTCCCTTCTAATCCCATAGTTCGTGTTTCTGGTGCTCAGCTCTACATGCTGTACCTTGGCATGAACTCAGGTGCAATCTTATCACTTGGGAAATTCCAGGTGATGTAAAGGCTTCCCTCCCAAAGATCAAGGACAAAAACCAGTCAAATTCTTTGTTATTTAACAGGATGGATAGTGGTGCCATTGACCAGGATTAGCAGAAGTCTGGGAAAGGAGGAAATATTTTGCTAGGGCAAAGTGGAGAGTAATGTTTTGGATGTATAAACTTCAAGGTGTTTAGATTTTTGCCACATGCTGTCAGATAGAGCACTTAACACCAAAACCCAAACAATCCAATCAATAAATGGGCTAAGGAACTGAACAGACATTTTTCAGAAGAAGATATATAATTGATCAACAAATATATGACAAAATGTTCAACATCTCTAGTAATTAGA